CCCGGATCCTAGCAAAGCCCTGACAAAGTGCCGCACTGAGGTATTCTAGTGAACCTAGAATAATCACCTTCCGGCCTCTTCTCCTTGACTTCATTGGTTCTTACTTATCTAAACGCGGCTAAAATGTCTTAGTAGGTAATATCCACTCGAAGTCTCGGCTGATCAGGAGTGGCGTTCTTCAAGGCACGGTATTAGGCCTTCTCCTCTCCATTCTGTACATGAATGAGATTTTCACAGTATTTAAAATTTCACACGATTTCATTTAAACTGATGATCTTAAGTGCATTTACTCATTTTTCTAAGGACACGGCCAAGGTTTGCATTGATTAAATCGACGCAGACCTGCGTACATTCTTACGTTGGTGCGCCAGTTGATAGGTGGAGCTTTCTCCGTTAAAGTGCACTTTCATGGGTTTTGACCACACCAAGCTTCCTGGATGTCTAGTCTTTCAAAATAGTCTACTTATAGAAGTTATGGGACTTGCACCTAAGTTACACGAACAAGCTGGCATTATGGAATATCTGCAAAAGTCTAGAAAGATATGTGGTTTCGTATCACAATTTATTCGTTCTGAAAATGAAGTTAAAATTGTGCTGCATGTTTGTCCTTCATACCCTAGAGTATTACTGTCCCCTCTTTGGTCTGCTGAACGCGTCTGATCACGGTAAGACTGAAAATGTTCGAAGAGTCTACCCCGATACCTTCCTTTCTCTCATAATGCCAGATGTCTGTTAGCTAACATTCAATTTCCGTGGGATAGACGACTCGAAGTCAGCCTCTGTTTACCGCTTCACGTAAACTACAGTCCTAATTTCCCACTTAATAACGCTTTCACTCCAATAAATCGGCTTTATGCCATTCATAATTATTCGATGATCATTTCGCCTCCCCTTTTCTCCATATCTAACCGTTCGCGTTTTGTGTCTCTAAATATAATTTTTTCTTTGGAATAATATTTCATTTGAAATTAAATCGTCGTCTGAACTAGAAATATTCAAATCCGATTTGTATAAACTTTTAACATCAGAAGGTATGAAGTCAATACTGTCCGTTTCATCCCCAAACAAGCAACTTTTGCACTTTGAAAATCGTCTTTCTGTTATTTTAGGTGATACTCTTAGTCGTCATTAGTTTATATACCCAGTGATCTTGTCCTCTCTAGAGATAACCTTCGCAACCATTTTTGTCCCCTCTTCATTTCAACCATCATTGCGAAATATTGAAGACCTCGATGTATTCTTCTACTTTGCATTCCTCGGTCAAGCATGCGTCTTCTGGCTCAGACGAGGGTCTTCGCGGTCTCTTCTATTCGACCCGTACGAACTGCAACGATTTCGTCAGCCACTGCAGCTCTTGGTCATAGTCTACACCCATTTTAACGTTCTCCTTTATGTCAACACACAACGGACTGTTGATGATCGTGATGAGTTCTTCTGCTCCATATCCTTGTCGACTGACTCTGCTATCTGCAAGACCAGATCACGGTCACATCTCCGACATTTCGTTGATGATATCGTGGCGTCTACT